CTCCATTGCAGCAAACCGAGACTGGCCCCTTATGCAACTTGATGTCAAAAATGCATTCCTTAATGGAGATCTTGAAGATGATGTATACATGAATTTATCTTCCGGTCTTGAAGGGTCCTTAGTGGCAAAATATGCAAGCTCCAGAAATCTCTGTATGGTCTCAAACAATCTCCCCGTGCTTGGTTTGCCAGATTCACCAATTCAGCAATCAAATGCGGTTATACTCAAAGCCAAACTGATCATACAATGTTCACAAAAAGATCCGAGAAGAAGATTGTTGTACTTATTGTGTATGTTGATGACATCATTCTTACCGGTGATCACAATGAAGAATTGACAAAGCTGAAGAAGTTTCTAGCCCATGAATTCGAAATCAAGGACCTCAGAGACTTGAAGTTCTTCTTGGGAATGGAAGTTGCAAGATCCAAAATGGGGATAGCCGTAACTCAAAGGAAGTACACATTGGACCTATTGAAAGAAACTGGTATGCTTGGATGCAAACCAATAGATACTCCAATAGATCCGTATAAAAAGATTGGAATGGAGAATAATAGTTTACCAGTCAACAAATGACGATATCAGCGGCTTGTTGGAAGACTCATTTACTTATCCCACACCAGAACAGACATAAGCTTTTCAGTAAGTATAGTAAGTCAATTCATGAACTGCTGTCAACCGTATCTTAAGATACTTAAAGATAACACCAGGGAAATGATTATTATTCAAAAGGAATGATAGTCAAAAGGTAGAAGTCTTTACTGATGCTGACTGGTCAGGAGATATATTCACCCGACGATCAACCTTTGGGTATTGCTCTTATGTATGCGGCAATCTAGTGGCATAGAGAAGCAAGAAGCAATCGGTGATATCTCAGAGTAGTGAGAAGCAGAATACAGAGCACTGGCGCTTGGTATCTGTGAAGGAATGTGGATCAAAAGATTTCTCAAAGAGCTTGGAATTATGGGAGAAAATTCTATCAAGATGTTCTGTGACAATCAAGCAGCAATCAATATCGCAAAGAATCCTGTTCATAATGACCGAACGAAACAAATTGAGATTGATCGGAACTTCATTTCCGAGAAGGTGGACAATGAAATCATTGAATTGGTTTATACTCCTTCTAAAGACCAAACTGCAGACATTCTCACCAAGGCTCTCCCTAAGTCATGTTTTGATGAGCTAACCAACAAGTTGGGCATGTACAAACTGTACAAACCACCTTGAAGGGGAGTGTGGAATTACGCTCCTTATTATTTACTTTAATTCCATTTAGTACTTCTTATATTTAGTCATAGTATATAAAGAATAATTCCTTAATTATAGGTATTTATGTTTATTCCATAATTATAGGAATTACTTAATTGGAGGAAGATTTCTTTCCTCTTTCTATTTCTTGTACTTGCCTATTTATAGGTGAATTATCTTTGTATTCAAGTGAGAAAAAACATTATTCAAAATTCACAATATATATATATATATATATATATATATGAATATATTTCTTTATTTATTTCTTTATTTATAGAAAGCCCAACAAAGGCTAATATATTAACCATAATTAAAGATACAGATACAATGTGTTGGAGGACCCAAACATGACACCCTGCCAACACCAAAACCACAAGGGGTTCCAAGACTAGAAAATACATAAAAGTACATTAAAGACAAAAAAAATGTTCAAAAATGTTGAAATACATAGTATCAGGTGGCTAGAAAGCAACGCAATTTGCCTCTGCCTCTGCTTCTGGTTCTGAGAAAGGAGTAAGCTAATAAGTTGGTAAGATGATTACCATTGTCAATAGTAACCAATGAATCATCTAAAATGTTCCCGAGCCGGAGTCGGACTCCATTCTTTTTCTTCCTCCTGGAATAGACCTATTATTCCTCTTTCGATGATTGACTCACCTGATCTTGTTCTAAAGTGTGTTGGAGATGTGCAGATTGTTGAACATTAGAAGCAACTACATATTGTACCGGCTGACCTGTTGTTGGATCAAAAGAGCCCTCCCGTGTTTCTTGACATGTATGTGAGTCTTCTTCAATAACAGTGGATGGTATAAACACAACTGGATCTGTAGTTATAGTATGTTGTTCTTCTTTAGGAACTGCAGTGTTGAGAAGAAGATCAGGTTGTATCTTCTCACAGGAATAATAGGTGGTTGTTCTATAGCGATATTCGGTCTTAGATGAGGATGCAAACGATAACAAATAGTAGAGTTGTGGCCAAACATACTACAATGAGAGCAATAAGGAGAGTGTGATTCGATTTCAACCTTTTGCCAATATCCGTTGTGAGTGGTTCCAATCCACACCTCATCCGGAGCTGGTTGAGTGATATCCCTCAACACACCTGAGAGGCTTACCGTAAGCAGTTGCTAAGGAGTAGAGATTTTCCAAGTTAAACAGATGTAATTTTAACCCCGGGAATTTAATCCAGACTGGAATGACAGGGGACTTCGTTTTTGGATTGAAACCAACAGTCAACTTCAGAATTTTCATATAACGATTGTCGATCTGGATAACTTTCCGAGAAAAGATGCGAGTGTAATCGACATCATGAGATAACTGAATCAGTATGTGTCGACCGTTAAGTAAACCAATATTCCAACTGCCCAATAGCTTCATAGCCTCAAAGTTTTTTCGAATGATATCTAGTTTTGGGTGACCATACAGAAATTTCCCCACAAGAGTAAAGCGTCAGGAGGACGCGAGAGTACTGGTTTCAATTCTGTGAGAATAAGAGCAAGCTTCCTATTTTTTTTCCTAATTTTTTTATGCAGGTGTGATCGCCACCACCTTCAAGAGCATTGTGAAAAGATTGAGGAACATTGCAGGACTTGTCAATATGAAAACCAGATTCTGAACCTGAAAGAGAAGCACGAGTAGGAATAGGAATGTCGCCGACAAGTGCAGTAACACAGCTGGGGAGCCGCTGGGCGCTGGAAATAGGCGAGCAAAACTGCCGCCTACGAACGACGCGAAATATATATATATATATATATATATAGCTCAAACTAAACCTCTTACAATTAGAGGATAATTCATATCATCATGATAAAAAGAATAAAAAGTGAAACACAATAATGGATAATTACAAAAGAATAAATTCTCCCCTCAAATGTGACAGCAGGCCCATAATTTCCTAAATCCAGTTCATACAACAATTATATTATTATTATTATTATTATTATTATTATTATTATTATTATTATTATTATTATTATTATTATTATTATTATACATGGGTGGCATTCGAACATTTTTTCCAAGTAAATTGGATGTTATATGTGAATCTTTTGGCAAAGCTATGTTAGTCTTTTACCATAGTCGTAGCACCTAATTGAGTTGACTTCTAGAACACATGTAGAAGTCAAGAAAGGGATTATCAAACTTGAGCCTTATTTATATCATAAATATTCAATCAATAGTTCTGCCATTTATGTTTACTTCATAATTTCAAGCTAAATTTTGTAATTTTTCAAGAATCTCATTATTTTAAAATATGACGGAGTTTTATAATTTGCTTATCGTGTTTATTTAAAAATTGAAATAAAAATTTATTGTGACATCTATTTTAAGGAAAATTTCCCTTGTAGGCTTCTCATGTTTTACTCGTCTCTCTTCCTGTTAAGGCATTCATTTGTCTAAAATCCTGAGATTTTCTCTAATTCTCTTCTTTCACATGATTCTTATTTTCTTCCATCCAACACTCTATGACTGATCCCTCCATTATTTCCCTCATCTTCACCATGCCTAACCATCTCCAACTCTCCATTTCATTATCCTCAATCAACCCCAACATGTTGCCCAACTTCCAGCGTGAAAAGCCATCTTCCTCAACCCAACCAACTCAACAATTCACCACAACACATCATCCATGTAAAGTATAGGAAGTATCATCATCCACCGTCTTTAGTAGAGTTCAGCGATGTCTCTCAATCAAATTGTAGTATTTTAATGTGCATTAGCACATGAACAACATATTCTGAAATAAGAATATGTGCAAGGCCTGTAAAGGGGTTGTTGGCAACAATTATCTCTAAGGGCTCGTTTGAGCAGTCTTTCACAGAGCAGCATATTTTTTCTAACGCCGATTTTTCTTTTTTTGATCTGTTTGTCCACGTAATTCCTAGCAATGTAGGTTTTTCGGAACGATTTTTTTTCCCACCAAAAATATCTCCGAGCTTTTCAAATGCTGTCCTTGGTCTTGCAAAGGAAAAGTCAATTTTAACCTTTATACCATTCCATGAGAAGGCCCCACAGATACAGATTCGATGAGGGTATATCTTAAAAGCTGATAAAAAAAATAATGATAAAATGTACCTAGGAAATTTTATATTCAAACGAAAGTATTGCACTTACTAACGTACATTTATAACAAAACTTTTTTTAATATTACTTTTAAAAGAAGATTTTTAAAAGGTGAGGTGCTCCCAAACAAGGCCTAACTAGAAGACCAAGATTCAAATCACACTCTAACAACTAATTTCCAACTATGTTGCTCCTAAGGCTCAACTTCCCAAACAAAACATATTTTAGAAACTCCAGTCCCATGCAGTCAAACTTGCACTCCAAAGGTCACACCAATCTACATTATCACGTCAAAATGAAGTTTAAAAATAAAACGAATGTACATAAAGTTTAAAATAGTAAAGTAGAATGCAAAAATCAAGATGGAAATCATGTAACTAATTTGCAATCTATATGATAAATGAAACCAGCCAAAAATAAAAAATAAAAAAAATTGAAGTATTCCTGCCATTGGAAATCCATTAGCACAGGACAAGGCCGTAAGAAAAACATCCAATGTCAATATCAATATTCCCATAAGTAGCCTCACTTCGTGCATGAACAACAAATAGCATGTAAACTTTAATAGTGGGGTAGAATGTAATAATCGAAATGGAAGTCAAGGAAACCACATTGCAATCACTATTATAGGAAGAAAACTGATCACAAAATAAATGTCCATTCCCAAAATTTAACAAAGTTATTCTAACCTTTGGTAGTCCATTGGCAGATGACAAAGCCATGTCAAAAATTTTCCTTGCAACGTCAATATTTCCATAAGCAGCCTCGCTTCGTGCGTATACACCACAAAGTAGCAAGTCCTGCTCCACAAAGAATTATAAAATACATGTAAAAGCATAACTGGTTCCTAAAACTCTATAGTAAAGAATGGATTTTTTTATAAATAAAGGGTATTAATTGTTCAAAATAACAGCAAAAGTAAATTTTCACTCGAGTAATCATGAAATATTAAAGACACTATCAAAATTACTAGTATATAAAACTCATTTTGCCCCCACCATTCCATACAAATATAAACTTCATGAAAATGGTTAGCATGTTTTAAAACGAACGAAAATGCATAGAAGATATGAAGCAGAGGAATCATGGAAATGATGAATCATAATTTGAATCACAAATATCAAGACTACTAACATAAGTCGAGCACGAATGTGACAGTAACTGGAGGAAAAGATTCAGTTGATGCTTAGGCTCAGAAATACAAGCAGTTGTGAAACCAGATGATGGCAAAGAAAGCTCACAGCCGCCAGATTTGAGAAAAAAAAATACTATGTTGCAATATATAATTTGAAATTTAATATTAAATTATCTAGCAATCAAACATAATATAGAAGCAGAGGGATCACCAAAATGATTAATAATAGTCAGCATTACTAAGCAAATCAAGGCTACCAACATAAGCACTAAATGTGGCATTAGCTGGAAGAGAAGATTCAGTTGATAATAAGACTCAATAATAAAAGCAGTTCTGGAATGAGGGGGATGGTTGGAAGGGTCTCGACACCTTCCAGTTTAAAAATCATATGTTCCTATATTTAATTTGAAATTTTAACATTAAATTCACATGCAATCACGTATATTATAGAAACTTTCCCTCCCACGTAGGTAAACCCTTTTGCTTCCTCTCACTTGAAATCTTAATTGTGTCACGGAATACAAACATAAAACTTCAACCTGATTATTAGTACATGATTGAATCCTCATTATTCATTTCTTATTGAGCGAGCGTTAAAACATGTCCTTTCAATTATCAAGGCCCATTCAATTCCAATTGAAAGTAACTGTAATATGATCACAATGAAGTAAATAAGACTCATTATTTATACTATTTTCACATGATCATTTAAAATATTGGAAGATTAAAGTGTATTACCATAGGCAACACTAGAAGTTTACTTTGTCAAATTATTAACCTTTAAATAATAAAAGAAAACATAAAAAAAGTGTAAATAAAATAAAATACTTGAAGAGCCTTGTCTACGAAAGCTACTCATTAGCCTGTTGAAGACCCCTAAGTCGCTCCTACTCTCCTTTGTCCATGTGATAATACAGCTATATTCTCTAATGCTATCTATGATTGCTCGGATGTGAGAGTTATTGATGATGCAAGATTTATTCAGTCAAAATATTCTATCGAAAGTCTTCCCAAATTAGTAGATAAAAGGTTTCATCTTGTTTTTTCTTGAAGAGACATAAATTGGAAAAGAAAATTAACATTCTACCACGCTTACTAGATTTCAAGGTAGATACAAATACTCTCATGATGACTTTGGCTTTATTGACTTCGTAGGAGTCTGTTAATCAATCTGCATGTCTCCACTTGGATTGATATTACTCCATCAACTTCAATTTACATTTATCCAATGCAATTAATTTCTTTACTTTCTTAGGCTTTTTTTGTTTTTTTGTAAATGCTTGTTTGTATAGCATTTTAATAATGTATTTCTTTGTCTTAAAAAAATCTAAATCTAATAACATGAATGCTTTCTAATTGGCAGCATTCCTACATCATTTTTACCTCCATAACTGCAAGTCCTTACAGGGAATATATCCTATTGGAATTTCCTTAATTCATTCCTTGATTTGCAAAATTATATCTTTGCTAACATGTAATAAAAAATCTTATTGTTTAATCACTTTTAGCACTTTGTTTTGCATGAGCGCAATCAAAAACCTAACATAACAGTATGTTCGACATAGAAACATAAGACAACAAGAGAATAACTAGTCATCAGTAGTTACTGCATATTATCTGAGCTTAATTACAATATTAGGAAATCTCATGAGCTGCATCAATTTTGAACAAATTATTTTTTTTGCAGATACCAAAATAAGAGATCTTAAAGAGTCCAAAAAATGACTTCAGTAAAAATATCATGCCAATATTGATAAGGTGGAAGTAGCGCCATAAATTTTATAACCTGACGATCTTTTTTGAGTAGAGACTTGGCCAGAGCCCGTGATGGCTTTATGGAGGAACTAGAAGTACTCTTTTGATTAAAAACTAACTCTTCAACAGTAATAAGGGCATCCTCCAAAATATGATTGCGTGGGAAAACACTTAAACAAAGTAAAATTGCATTTCGAAGAAACATCACAGTACTTGTACTCCTAAATATATCAGTGTTGCTGCCCAAAAGGGATTCTAATACCGAAGGAACTGGATGCTCAACACTAGCACACACATTAGAAATAACCCTCAAATCTTCTGAAATAGAATCTTCCAATGTTTCTAAGCTCAAAACTTTTTCCATCCAACTCGCATTGTTTGTGCATGTCCTGAAAAAAAAATGATATTAAAGTTACAATGCTGTAGCTCAAGAAAGCACGCTGGATGCTACATTATATATGTAGCGTATTCAATTTGATAAATCCTTAGTAGTATGTTCAATGAAATTTAAAATTTAGGAAACATATAAATTTTTTACTGGTATTTTCTCCACTAAAAATTAAAATAAAAATCAGTCTGAAAACAGGACTTGTCACACATTCAAGTTTGCTTAGCTGTGACATCAAGAACATCAATTTTTACAAAACTGGAAACATTTAGTTAGCATGGTTGGTTCTTTCCACTGATTCAGGAAAATTTATTCTTTCCCGTTATTGCATTCACATCAAATCGAACTTGATTCATATTCCCAGGTCAGGTTCAAGGTTGGCACCCCTATTTTGACCAAACCTGTAAAGCTAAAATTGCCAGTAGATAATTGAATGGTACCTACAATCTACGCTAGAGCATAAACATGCTACTTTTTGACAAGAATTCATCCACACTGCAACAAGAAAAATGCTACATCATATTTATCTAGCATCAATATACATCAGATAAACCTGTAATGATGGCAAATTTAAAGCTTTCCATCTTTGCCCCTAAACATTATTTAAGGACCGAATCCACCATGAATGGTCTTCCACATGTCATTGAAAGAAGCTACAATTTTTGGTGGGGTAGATCTGCCAACTTATGCAAACTTCAACATTTATAAAGCATTAGCCAGAAGAGTAAAATTTTTCAGCTTTCCCATTCAGCTTTTGTAATTTAGCAGGTGATCCTTGTTAATCGATGAGTAGTTAACTATATAACAAACTATTTACCTCACTAAAATGAGGTCAACAGAGTGGAAGACATTTTCACAGCTACACTTATAGCTTTATGAAGGAACGAGAATAAACATTAGTCAGCTGTCCGATTTAATCACTTCATGAGATCATCGACCTCATTAGCCTTAATATATTTCATGCCACTTCACTTTTATTATCTGCATTTAGACCAAGGCCACAACTTTATCACCTCTTTACAAACATATAGAAACTTATACTACAAAAAGAACCCTATTACATTTGTAAGTAGATCTTAGATCATTATGACCTTACACTTGCTCCTTTGCTTTCAAATATATTACAAATTGATAAATATATGCGACCATTCGTTCCTACAGCTTGCATAAGCTCCTTTTTACTATTTTGGTGCCATCTATTTATCTACTTATAAGTAAAATTCCACGTTATAAAATTTTATTTTGATTGTAAGTATATTAATGTTTTTACATTTTCCATGAAAATATTTACATTAACTTAGGCTATCCCGTAGAGATATGGAATGCATTGGGCTTGGCCAAAGGGTCTGCTTTGGTAACTAGGTTGGGCGTCAATGCATTGCCATGTATGTGTGTGTAGATGGTGGTGCTCTGCTGCAGAATATCCCAAAGTTAGTTAAATATCATGCCCATTATAGGCACAACCGACTTAAATAGACCATTAGCATATTAGTTTTTGGCAGCCATTACCACTAGAATATCCCAGAGTTACTTAAATATTGAGCCCACAAATTCACTAGTTTATCATAATAACATCATTCTTAAAATGGAATTTTACTCTTTTCAAATACTAACCAATAAATACAATCGAAATATTAAATACCAAGTTGTAATCATTCATGATACAAAAATAATACTGCTTTCCTTTATTCTAGTTCTTTGTCTTCCAGAAATAGTATAATATATGATGCAGCAATAAAAGTAGATCTATGTACAACCTAGAAAATAAAAAACTTAATTGCTCATATATTAGTTTTTTTTTTTTTTTTGTTCCTTTTAGTTGTATTGTGAGTAATGCAGTTCATAAATCATAGAGATAAGTAGTATACAATTTCCTGCAATAAATAGTAATGATCTTGAACCTCTGATCAGACAATATTATAAGGAAAAATTAGAAACCAATGAAAGAAATGAAGCTTCAAAATTTTATCTTCTTAAATACCATGTGATGAATTGAAATATGGTACAAAATAGGTGAAATCATCCTGCTAGATTTCCAATAAAGAATGTTGCAATAATAAAGATCATTTTTTTTTCAAAGTATTTGGAAATGATTGAAGTTGAGCTCCATGAATTCCCGATTATCTCTCTTTATTTTGCATGCATTCACATTTTAAGAACTTCATTCTTAGGGTTGTTTAGGCTAGTGTAAATTTCATTTTTACCCATCCACACATTAGTTTTATATTATTTTATAATAATCATTACAAGTTTAACTAATATTCTAAAACTTAATCAATTACTTTATATTATTCTATTATTATCAATTCTAAAAACCAAAACTAAAGGTAACTTCCAAGCCCTTAAATTTACTTCTCACCATTTTAAAGATGAGTTCCAAAACAGAAACTCACTTTCATTACCTTTCCACCAAAAACACATTAACTCACCTCCAGAACTTTGTTTCAATCCTCTCCAACCACTAACACGAAAACAAACTTGCCCTAACGGATGAAGAAGGAATTTGAAATGGTAGAAAAAAACCAATATGGTTATAGCATAAATATTAGAATTTAGGAACAATAAGAAATGCAGGTTAGAAAAATAGCAAAACAAAATGCATTCTTGCAGGGAACAGCAAGTAAAAAAATAGAATAACTAAAAAATGATCACATATGATTAGATGGACTACCAAGAGGGGAAGCAATAGACTTACTTCAACTTTAATCCTGCTTTATAACAATGTAAAAACTGTATAAAAGAAATTCCAAATACAAAGAAAACTATTGAACAAAAGTAAACAGCCACTGCAAACTAGATAACATCAGGGTTTTATTTAAAAAAATCAAATTGAGCAAGATTCTGAATAGATAAAAAGAAAACTTTATGAAGGATTGTTGTATCTCTTCGATAATTAATATCCTCTTAAGTATGGATATTAGCTTCTATTTTAAACTTAATAGAGATAAAATCAAAACCAAATGTCCACTGCACCAAATTTAAGCTAGAACTAACTTGCACTAACAATGAATAAATCTGTGTTGGGCCTGTTGGCATTTAATTGATTAATAGAACAAATAACCAAAACAATCATAATGGTAAAAGGCTGTCAACAACAGCAGCAACAAAGCCTTAATCCCACAACGTGGGGTCGGCTACATGAATCCTTTTTCTCCATTGCGTCCTATTTAGTGTCATATTTTCATTTAGTGCTAATAAATTAAGATCATTTTTAAAACAAATAAAAAAAAACAAAAGTGCATAAATGATGAAAGGCTGTCAACAAATAAAAAAAAAAGAACAAGTTGTCTTCAGTAAGAAATGACAAAAGTGCATAAATGATGAATTCAATGGCAACAGCATTAGTATAAGCACTATCTATGAAAAATTACTTTAGGAGTTTAGAATTTTAAGTCAAAAGAGAGAAATACTGCAAACGCTTTGAAGGAAAATAATCAAATAGAAATTTACCAGCGAGAAATTTTTGCGCCAAAGAATTCAACAAATTGAGAGACCAAAGAGTATCGGGCTTCATTAGAGCACAGAGAAAATAAATATTGATTTACATCTTCAAACAAAATCACCCTTGAAAGCTGTTCATTTCTGTCCATATCATACTCAAGGTATGCTGAGGTGAAACTTCCACAATTTCCTAAAAACATGCCCGAATCATTAAGAATTATAGAAAGATATACAATGGTAGTTTGCTCTTCAAATAAAAATAATTATGCTTTAAAGGATATGTTTAACAAACCATTACGAGAGAAGGGATCATATATGCACGGTAAAAAGCAAATAAGTTCCTTGTACCAGAATTTTCTCGAATAGGCATCCATTGTACTGAATCCCTTGATAGCTCCTCCTGCGACCATTTTTTCCAAGTCATCGTGTCTTTAATCTCGGTATGAGGATCAGCATCTACATCAATCCCAAGCTTCTTTAACAATGTTTCAACATCATCACTCAGTGGTATGAATTCATTGTCAGGATTATCTTCGGTATTGTCAACATCCAAATGCTCCTCTGAAATTTCTTTCTTAGCTGCAGGCTCATTAGAAAAAGCATCCGACCAACCAGACCAGCCTCCTTCTGATTCTTCCACCATTTCTTCAGAAATAGCTTCTTTCTTAGTCTCTTCCTCTTTTTCCAACCATGTAGACCACCCAAGTGCTCCATCCTCACCAAATCTGGCACCATTACTGTTCCAGAAGTGTTCAAAGAGTTTTTGTTTACTATGTGAGCTGAGAAGTAGAGAAGGACAAAACAAACTGTACTCTATTTCTGCTTGGAATAATCCGGTAGCTAACTCTCGATGTCCAGTTTGCCATTCAAATCGGCATAAATTAATAAATATATCTACTAAACCAAGCTCTAGTGGAACTAAGGAAGACCGATTAGATTTCAAATTATAACCTTTGTAATCCTGCTGCCAAAATGAAAAACACAAGTTAGTTATAATTATCATAAAAGGTCAGAAACACTCGCCTTAATTTTTTTTATTTGCAGGTAACCAGAACCAATACACACAATAGCACTAAAATAGAACAGCTATGCCGAACTACAGACCTACAAACCATACCTAGTTGTCAGTTTGCAATTAACCACTCCAACACAAAAAAAAGAAAAAGTGCTCCGGCCAACTCATCATCTTCTTAAATAAGTTAAATGGATGCAATTCCAGAAATCATTTTTTTATTTACAACTCAATCTAAAACCTCAAATGAAGGAGGAAAGCACTCAAAAAGAAGATTTGTAACTATTTTGAGAAGTAGACTAGAAAGTTCATAGCGACTATGAAATAAAATAATGGCGCAATCATTCAGGACCCAATCAAATATCATTAATTACTTTGCAAAGTATTTGATCCTTTGACCTTCACAGATTTGCTCGAGCTTTCAAAGAAGGATAGTCAATAAAGACAGTAAATCAAACGAATAGACTTAATTTGAAGAAAGTAGACAAAAGAGAAAAATTGATAATAGTTATTTGTCACTCACTTTATTTTTAAGAGAGTTTTTTATAAAAAGTAAATGTTGGCTTACACAGTAGCACCATACATAGAATTCACTTCATTTGTAGAAATGGAACTAGATCTAATTAAGACTTCACAAAGGAGATTAGAAGGGCGACATAAGAAAAGAAGTAGAAAGATGTGATTCTGCCTATCCCATTGATGCCCTCCAGAAGGTTTTCTGCATTTTATTCCACTGAATAAAAAAAATATTGGGTTGCCCTGCCAAAAACACATTCCTACATCGTAAATTAATGCAAAGAAGAATCAGGCATTACTTTGAATCTTGTGGTTGACACAGGATGTATCCCGCATGGGAGTTCCAATGACGGAAGCAGGATCCAGCTTCGCGTTTGGAGTCGGTCGGGTTTATTGGGTCACTCCTAGTTATCATGTTACTATATATTTGATTTCATGATGTTTTAGGGCTAGTTTTTCATGAGTATTCTATCGAGACAGCCATCGGCATCTCCAAATTTTCCCTTCTAGGACCGTATCTAAGGTCAAGTAGTGCTGAGACCGTATCTCACTTCCAAGAAGGTATTTATCCTTGATGTTTCCATCCTTTGCAATCTTCCCTCTATCACTGTCAACGCCACCATTGTAACTGTTGCAACCATCCTAATGACAACACCTTCGATGTACTTGCAACCACCGCAAACTCCTCTACGCCCTTTCCTCCCTTGAAGTTTCCTGCAATTGCTTACCATCCAGCTACATCTCTCCTACTTGCGACCAACCCTTCCAGCCACTGTTCGGCCTGTGACACCCCTTTCTAGATAACTGCCGCTAGTCAGCCCCTCCCTCCTTCTGCTTCCTTGCTGCCAGCCATCCCCTCCTTCCTGATGTTCCCTTGTCGCCAACCTTCTCCTTCCTTGCTGCAACCAAGTCACTGACCACCTCACCTCCCTTGTTGTCGCATCCCCATTCCAGCCCTCTATTTCCCCAATCGCAGTGTCACCCTACCGTAGGCTTCCCAACACCCTCGACCAAAGCCCTATTTTGGCGTTTGTGTTGTGTCCTTTGTTATTTTTTATTTGTGTGTTTGTTGTAACCCCTATTTAATTTCAGTGATAAAAGCTACATTTTTCATTGTTGTTTGGTTAACTCCGGTATTATTTAGTATCAGAGCTAGGCCAACGTTAATCATAGCCTAAAATTTCTAACATCCAATTATAACCTGCCCAAGCTCCACCCAAATTTTTTCTTTCACACCCTACGCCACCCCTACACACCTCCTTCCACATATCCAAATCCAAACCCTAATAATGTTGCTGAAGAGGCAATTGTCGAAACTTAATCAAAAGTTTACAATGGACGAGTTGCAACAGGAATTCCGTCGAGTACTACAACAGCTCGTTGAACTGGAATAAAGGACCCAGGGAGAAGCCGGTGTCGATTATGGTATTGAGATCTAATGAGAGAGAGGAAAACCTAAATACCTTCGATAGGGATAATTTCAGTGGAAAAGAAGACATGCCGCAATGCTTCGGGATACAATATAGAGGAGTTCGGGACATGAATTGTCTGTTAGATGATACAGAGATGAAGTGTCTGTTAGATGATAAAAAACTCTAAGAGTGAAAGTGTACATATCAAATATCGAGGAAATGATGAATCTGGATGATTTCATAGAGTGGTTGCAGACCATCGAGCAACTATTTGCATACAGGGATGTGTCAGATGATCAAAAAAACTTGTTGTTATCAAACTTAAAAAAGAGTGTTTTGTTGTGATGGGAAAACTTGAAGAGAGAGAAATAGAGAATGACAGAGCAAGATTACTACCTTAGAGAAGAAGAAGAGAAAGTTGCAACAAAAGTACCTACCCCCACACTAACGTCAAGATCTTTTCTTAAGGCTCCATCACCTATAACAAAGGGACTTAGCAATGGAGGAGTCCACAGCGAAGTTTATGCAGCTTAAGCTAAAATGTGACCTGACGAAGCCAGGGAAGCACACGATAGCCAAGTACTGGGAGGCCTAAAGCCCACCATCGGCAATGTGGTTCAACTAAAGCTCTACTAGTCTTTGAGTGGCATTTAGGCGCCAAAATTGAAGGTGAAGAGACAGCAAAAGCAGAGCAAACAAACATTGTCATTCAGACAACCACCCACAGTTGGAGACATCAGTAGGAGCACATCGAAGTAAGTTGAGAAGTCCAATTAGGAGAATGATCGAGTTGCATAGAGTAAGAAGAAACCTGAGAAGAGCAACACCCCCAATTAGTCACAACAATAAAATATTTCAAATATCATTGTTTTGGACACATCACTTCCAGCTGTCAGACGAGCCAAGTTGTCCATCGAGCAAGGTACAGTTGAGGAAGTGAGCAACAAAGAGGGACTTGAAAAATAAAGTCAGGAATACCAGCTTTCACTAAATGAGGGTGTGATGTTGGTGGTTCGACTAGTCCTTTAAAATGAGGCTACGGAATATGTTGCACGTAAACGGATAGGGACCCAGACACGAGAGACTTTTGTTAATAAAAATATAAGACACAAGCACGCATTAGACACACCATCATAATAAAAGTTATTAATATATATGCATATATAATATATATATATATATATATAGATATATAATAAAATATTAAGAGTAATACAAAAAATAAGAACTTCAATAGAATTATCTTTCAAAAATTAATATGTCAACAACAAGAAATAACAGCACAGGCGAGCGATTGAAGAACTGCTCGAGCTCATATGCGAGAAAAGAAATCGGACGAATAAGTCGAACATATTGGTTTTACCTTTAAGGAAAATATAAATTATTATTTTTAAATTTTTACTTGTAAAAAATATAACATAGATGTTTGAAAAATATTTTTAAAAATTTTTTATTCACTAATTTAAGATTTGTGTCTGACACGATTGTCCCTTTTTTATTTTAATATTATTTAAATCGGACAATTCAAAAACGTGTATGGGGCGTGTTGGGCGAGTGTTAGTGGTTGACACTACATAGCTTCTTAGCCAAAAGTGCTTGTGCACATAGGCTACGAAGGAGCAACAGTAACTTCGCCACAACATATTCTAAACATGTTGCACTGAGAAGGGAAAGGTATACAATCTCATTATTGATTGAGTGAGCAGCAAGAACATGGCATCTACGTAGATGGTGGACAAATTGATCCACATGTCTCAGAGGCACTCCAAGTCATGCTCTTTAATGTGGTTGAGGAAGAAAAAAGTCAACATTGATAGAAGGTGTCTCGTGAAGTTTTCGATTGGGAACCAGCAGCAGGATCAGGCGTGGTGCGATGTTCTGGGGAAGATCATGTCAGTTTAATCGTTAGACTTAGCATGCCGGGTTTAAAAACGCTTACTCCACTAAAGATGGCAAGCTCATTATCCTTCTACCTTTTACAGATGTTGAGATTAAAGGTACCCTTGTCAGCAAAGAAGCACCAGTAGGACAATTTTGGTAGGGATAGCGGGACAGAGGCGCAAATTCGATACATGGGGCAATCATTGCAGAGAGCATTTCAAGGCATCATAATCGATACCTTATCGCCATGGCTGCCACCATTAGATGGATTTCATTCTATCCTCACGACAGATAGGAATGGGCCAACATTGATTCACATTTGGAGGGCCCTACAAAGTATACTTGGCATGAAGTCCCAAATTCAATTTAGCAGTGTACCCCCAGATGGTTGAATCAATATGGATAGCTACTCATAAGTGGAAAAAATTCTCAAGTGTTTTAACAGACTGTGAGACTCAAGTGCTCATATCGATGCAGTTGAAGACTAGCTATAGGAGTTCTGCCCCTTTCAATGTGAAGACAGAAGCTTCAACGAATGAGTTTAAAACTCTCCAATCCCGGGAGACTAAAGCAGGACGTCTCTCGCACTAGAGTTCCCATGATGGAAGTGGGATCCCACTTCATGCTTGGACCGAACCAGTCCAAGTATTTTTATAATTGTAGAGTCGACCGTCCTATTGGGCCACTCCTAGTTATCCTATTACTATAAATTTTCTTTCTTGAAATTTTAGGGTTAGTTTTTAATGAGTTCTCTTTCAAAACAGTCGTCAACATCTCCAAGTTTTTCCTTATAAGATTGTATCCAAGAGCGAGCGGAGCTCTAACTGTATCTCGTTCTGAGGTAGTGATTCGCCTCCAAAAGTCGAGTGGCGCTCAAGTTGTAGCTTGCTCCCAATATGGTGTTTATCCTCGACGTTTCCATTCTCTGCAACCTTTCCACCACAGCAGTAGCTGTTGCAACACCTTTGTTGTTCCTACAGCCACCGCGACCTCCCCTGCCCCCTTTCCTCCCTTGTAGTTTCTTGCGGCTGCTTATCATCCAACCGCATCTCTTGCTTACGACCAACCCTTCCAGCCGATGTCTGGCCTACGACACCCCTTATCACACCCTTGTCGCTAGCCAGACCCTTCTTCTTGTTGCTCCCTTGCCACCACCCATCCCCTCCTTCATGATGTCCCCCAATCGCCAGCCTTCCCCTCCTTCATGATGTCCCCCAATCGCCAGCCTTCCCCTTACCTGTTGCAGCCCAGCCACCAACTACTTCACATCCCATGTTGCATCACCTGACATGAGAGCTTCTCGTAGGGGCATTTTTGTGACCCTTACTACCAATACCATGAATTGAACTAGACGCGGTAAAGCTTCTAGCGACCTAGGACCGCTCATAACAATGAATTGAAGGTCGACTGACCTTCCTTACGTGGATTTGGTCATTTCAACAATGGGTCTAATCTTCATTACATAATGCTTATATATTTGATTTTTGTGTTTAGGCTTTCAATTTTTTTTTCGTATTTTTTGTCAACACAGCCCTCGGCGTCTAAGTTTTCCCAACTAGGATTGCATCCTTCCCTCCACCTTCTCCCAGGCTCCTGCCTCGATATCGCAGCCTCGTAAGCCCCTTGCCTTGTTGTTTGTTGTCGTTCCAACCACCTGAACTGCATTCCTTCAACCTCGCTTTTGTTACAACACTGACATTATCTTTCCAACCATCCAAGACCATTCCCCATACCACCTCGTCGTTGTCCTAGCCGCCAGAACCACCTACCGCAGGCTGACTGTTGTCCCTCCGCTTCGCCTTTAGCCATTGTTTCTTTGTTTCCCAATCCCCCCTTGCAAGCGATTTTCCAAACCCCTATCAGCCAACACCACCCGAGATTCACCATACTTAAGAGTTTGTGTTGTGTCTGCTGCTATTTCAGTTTTTTATTGTTGTGTTGTTGTATTTTCCCTTTCAAATATGTTGGTTATAACCTCCTATTTTCTTTAAGTAATAATATTAATTTTTCCTCTTGTTATTTGAGTTGACTCTAATCATTTGGTATAAGAGCACGCGTAACTCTAATCATACCCTAGGGTTTCTAGCATCCACCCATACCCAACCACACCTCCACAAAAAATTCCAATCATTTGTTGATTTTTCAATCCGACCACCCAAAATTTTTCTTCCTCACCCAACATCACCCTTACACACCTTTCACCTACCAACACGCGAACCCTAATCATGCCACTGAAGAGACGATAGTCGGACACCGATCAATAGTTTATCATGGAAGAGATATAGCAAAAACTACGTCGAGTGCTACAACGGCTTGATGAATTGAGGAAAACAGACCATCTAGACGAGTCACTTGTAGCCACAACGGTGACTTGCTAGACCGCATAAATGAAGTAAATCTCTTCCATCATGCAGATTCCATTGATGAAGAACCTCTATGGCAAAGATTTGTCCTGAAATATCTGAAAACTAAATTTTTAAAGTAAATGTGGATTTGCTATATTTTAACGGCCGCATGGATCCGGACGAGATCATCAAGTGGCTCTAGACTTTGGAATGTGTAATTGAGTAACAAGATGTCTCATCAGATGAAATGATGAAACTAGCCACCAGTAAGTTAAGGAAGAGTGCATCTCAATGGTGGGCAAACTTAAAGGTTCTTCGACCGCGAGAAGAGAGAGTAACATTACTACTTAGTCCAAATATGAAATAGAAGATGCAGCATCAGTACCTACCAGCTTACTATATATCAGATGTTCAAGCCTCAGTTCCAAAAGTGGAGCGACCGCCACATCTTACATGCACGATTTAACCCGAGAACCATATAGCCAAAATAAACCCAGGCGAACATCCAAGCTAACCCCATTTGAGGAGAAACTGAATGAGTAGAGAACGGGTGGAGCGAACTAGTATTTCTAAATTTTGCATATTAAATCAGACTGCACAACCAGGGTAATAATCTATTTCACTGAGCATGAAGTTGTTTAAAAAATAGGTAATGATATAGTAGACACTGAAGAAAGTAAGGAGACAGAAGATGAGTAACATGTGTGAGCAACAAGGAAGAGCAGCCATCAATTCCAATTGAACCCAGGAGAGATATTCCATCTGAGTTAACAATAGTTGTTCTAGAAGGTAGTGACTCCGAGGTAATGGGCGTCCATGCAGAGTATGAGATTGTAGTGTCACAAACTACAATTTTGCAAGCATTGAAAAGAGCATCAACAAAACTAGTGTTAGATGTCCAAAACGGACATGACTTGGAGAATAAGTTACTAGGCACAAGGCAGTCATAGGTAAGAGAATTTTAAAATTTTCAGATACATTGCCTACCTCCTGAGTTGACAATGTGAGGGAGGTCCAGAATGTCAGATTAGGCTATTTTGTGCCAATTATGGAAGACTATATGGAGTTAGTGGGAATTTAAAATAAATTAGAAGTGTACCCACAGACAGATGATCGGACGGGATAGATGAACCCCAATTTTGAAAATCGCCTCAAGATTTTTGTGGGAGAGAATATTCTATAATGGGACTAAAGTCCTTCCCAAGAAGATATCTTTCCTGAGTAGTTATGCATCATTGTAATCCAATCTACCATAGATGTCATTTCAGAGTTAATTCCTCCTGACATATTTATTTATCATATACATCTAGTAGTGTACAATAAGTGGGGGAGAAGCAGATTATAGATTTACTTGCTAGAGATTTGGCTTGTGAAAATTTATGTTGTTATGCAGCTCCAGCTCAAGTTATGCCAAATATGAATGTATACTTATTCAATAATTATTTGTTTTGAAATGAAACACCTTCAAGATTGACTTACTGGGAGCTTGCAACATTTCCACTACCTTCAGAAGGGGCAACCTGACTACTATGAAAAAATAGAAGCTTTGATAGATGAGTTCAAAGCTCTCACAACCCTAGGAGACTGATATGGGAGCTTCCCGCAGAGACATTTTTGCGACATTGATACAGTATTGCTTCAATACTGCAAACTGGACCAAATGCAGAAAAGCTCTTAGCAACCAATGAACAGTCAGAACAGCAACCTGGGACCGACTGACCTTCCTTACGTGGATTTCGCGCCTCCTTTTAACAGTGGGCCCAATCTTAATTATCTAATGCTTATATATTTGATTTTTGTATTTAAATTTTCAGTTTTCTTCGTGTTTTATATCAGGACAGTCGTCGATGTCCGGGTTTTTCCTTCTATAGTTGTATATTAAGGTGAGTGGTGCTCCGACTGCATTTCATTCTGAGGTGGTGACTCTCCACCAAAAGAAGAGGGGTGCTCCGGCTATATCTCACTCCCGATCTAGTGTTATCTTTCTCCAACTCCTCTGCATCCCTCAATTCTACCACCACACATTCCTCCTCATTGCAGCAGCCCAAACAGCCACCTCTTAGCTATCTTCCAGCAGTTTTTGCTCTCCCAATTGTCGCTTGCTCACTGCTAGCCATCCAGAATCCTTCCTCCTGCACCCTGTTGCTGTCCCAGCCCCCCTCCACCTTCCCTCCACCTCCACCTTCTCCCAGCCTTATGCCTCGCTGCCGCAGCCCCGTAAGCCTCTCGTCTTGTTGTTCACCGATGTCCCTACCACCCGCAACCTTCCCTCCACCCTCTCCCATCCTTCTGCCTCACTGTTGCAACCTCGTAAGTCCCTTGGCTTGTTGTCCATTGTTGTTCCAGCCACCTGAACCGCATCCCTACAGCCTCGTTCTTGTTCCACCACTTCCCCGGCAATATCATTGCCATTCCAGCCACCCAAGGCCATTCCCTATGCCACGTTGTTGTCCCAGCTACCAGAACCACCTCTCTAGAGGCTAGCTACTATTCTCATCGCCCAAAACCACCCCTAGCCGTTGTTTCTTCGCTGCCCAATCCACCCAACCCTTTGCTACCGCTTTACCAAGCCCCTATCGACCGCCATAACCACCTGAGAGTCACCCTAGTTAAGTGTTTGTGTGGTGTCTGTTGTAATTTCAGATTTTCAAGTGTCATGTGGTTGTTTTTTCTCTTTCACGTATTTTTGTTGTAACATTTTATTTGCTTTCAATAATAATATTTGTTTTTCCTCTTGTGGTTTGGGTTAACTTCAGTATTTCCCCCATTCCAGCCCTCTATTTTCCCAACCATAGCCTCCTAACCACGAAAAATCATTGGCATTTCAAGACTCACAACATGCTCGAAAATAAAAAATAAGACATCTATCAAAGTATATAAGAGCTATAAATATAGTAAAAACTACAGCTTATTATTCTTCAAGACAATGCGTAGTTCTAAAATGGTTGATGCATTTTTGAATGTTGGTGGATAAGGAAAGCAAGGTAATAAAATGTAGGTAACAAAAAGAAAATACATTCGCACCAAACCAAACCTGCATATCTGAACACGAAGTTGTTCCTAATAGAAATCAAGAACTATAGGTTAAAATTAAATTCAAAACAATGCATAAATGAGAAAATACCATGTGGTTTGAAATGCAATTTGGCAAACAGAGGTGGGTGCAAATAAAAGCACTCTTAAGAAAATCTGTATAATTGTGAAATCGCACAATTTAAACTAAAATTCATCATAATCAATTAACATAATAATAATAATAGAAGCGCCTAAAAATGAGGAAAGCATTGTGAAAAGATGAAAGCTGGATAATTTTAATATGATCAGGTATGAAAATAAATGATCGAGCCTGCCCATGAAACGTGTTGCTAGTTGAGAGCAGAACCTTGGTTTTAGTAATTATATGACTGCAATAATGAAGATTTCAAGATCACGTACCATAAAGATCAACCAAATCAACAAGCAGACATATAAGATAAAAAACCAAACAAAAAAATAATAATAACAAGATGTTTCAACAAAAAATGGATGCATGTGAATTTGCTCTCATATGATAAGAAAAAATATAGCAGGTTAATTTCATATGTGATATTGTATCACACGTTGAAATGTTTTAAGAGAGGAAATAAAGAGGAAGGTGACTTCCATGTGAAACGGTACAGTAAACTGTAAAATTTAAAAGATAGGAAATAGAACCTGCCTACAAAGGTTGTTGCAAGCTGAGGACAAAGCCTGGATGGCATGACCATAAGTTTTCCTAACATCAGATACTTTAAACTTGGAATACTCTCCATGCCGAACAAACAAGAATTCTTTCCATAGCATAACACTATCAAAATGTCGCACAATAACTTTTTCCCATTTTTCCATCAGAGAATCAGTCGTCTCCCGCTGTTGATACGACTTCAAAAGACAAAGCAACAATTCTTCATTATCTGGATTAAGCTCAACGGCCTTTTCCAAAATACTTATCTTCTTCTCAAGCGTCTGTAACCGAGCTGATTTTTGTGGCTGAGTGTTTGCAACTTTATCCTGAAAATAGAAAAAATACCAAATTCAAAAGTGGCCTTCTATCAACATATATGGAAGTTTAGACATTATGACTGACTCGTGTTATTGTGATTAGAAAAACAGATGACCAGAAAATTATTGTTAAAAAGCATTCACTAGCATGAAAAGAAGAAAAAATGCAATAAATATTAGTTTTTTATGGCCAAAAGACAAATCATTCAATTGTTCAAGAGGCTACCTGAAACTCAGCAAAAGCCAGCCAGACTTTCTCATCATGAGGAAAGTCTCTAGACATTTTGTTCAGCTCTCTAGTTCTTCGTAGTAATTCATCCTCCCAAGATTCCTCAAGCTCCACATCTGCATTTAATTCATTTCTGCCATTTTCTGTGGAAGTACGCAGCTCTACTAGAGGAATATACTCGCCTGGAATCAAAGAGGACTTCTTCACAGCAATTTTAACATGTTTGAAGCCCTTGTGCCTTTCCAAGGTTGTGAATTTCACAGAATAATAGCGGCCTCCTCCTTTTAATTTAGTATCCAATACATCAAGGTCATGATCAATATCCATGCTTGAAACTGAATATCTTCGATGACACAGCAGCTCAAAATCGAACTCTGAAAGATCTGAATGGTACTGAAGCTTGTATCGTGCAATATCCATTCTAAAAAATTTAATTTATTATCTGTAAAGTCAATGCTTTAACGGAATCTAATTGTATGACATTTTATCTAATTGAAAAAAAGGTTTAGAAGTTGCCCCATAATACAATAGTTGCATGGATGAACAGTGCAAGACTCCATTACTAAAATGTGAATGACACAGAAGCTGTTTGGGAAGTGAAGAGAAGATGTTGTTCCAAACCAAGATACAATATCAGGATGGCGAAAAAATTACAGATAAATAACATCAACTAAAGAGGAAGCCAATGATATAGCCAAGCAACCAACAAGAATGACAAAACAAACAGAGGTGCAAAAAAAATCTAATATGAAAGCATCTTGGAAGCACGAATGTAGAGTCCATGGGTTATGCTCTTTAATGTTGTTACATATTGTTCACTAGAGAAAACATTTACATATACTAAGAAAACTAGCAAAATATTGTACGATACAACAAAATAACGATACAACGCTCATACATATAGAGAAATTTCTAAATTGAGAGTCTATACCTAACACCCCCCATTAAGTCAGATCATACATATAAATTGGATTCAAGTTATTACATGGGTTCAAAAATTAAAGAGGCCCTAAGTCTTGGCAAGGACATAAGCAAATTATTTTTCATTGGAATATGAGGAGTGATGATCATCTTTAATAGAATAACAATCATAATAAAGTGACAACAAACTTCAATATTTTTAATCCTACTGTGGAAGACAGGAATGTATAAAAAATGTTTTAGATTCGATTAGGAGAGTAGATGTTTTAGATTCAACTTGTGTTAAGAAATGCAGAGGTAGACCTAGGAAAACTTGGGCTTATTGTATAAAAAATGATCTTAATTTACTAGAACTAAATGAAAATATGACACTAAATATGACGCAATGGAGAAAAAGGATTCATGTAGCCGACGCCACGTAGTGGGATTAAGGTTTTGTTGTTGTTGTTGTGGAAGACAGGAATGCTATCAATGTAAATAACAGCTTGATTATTATAGTTTAAACTCATAAGCTAAATAACTAAAAATCAAGCTCTTTAATGAAAGTTCTAATCCATATCAATTCAAAGGTGGATTAGTCACGGCCGTGTTGATCACTCAGTACTCATTCTCATGGATTCATCTTGATAAGATGAAAGAACTTGAAAGTAATCTTCATTACAGTAAATTAGACATTGTTTAACAAGATTTTCCCTGATGCTAGATCAAAGTTTAAACAGATCAAGGGTTAAAAATTCCTATAGGCACAAGCACTCAAGTTAATTACTCATCAGACGCTCGCTCATAGAAAAACACTCTCAATTAAGAGTGTACCTTAAGCTTAGATTTGATTAAATTGAGTATGATAAAATGGGAATAACCGGGAGAAATGGAGGTAGATCCAATTAAATTCCTATGGTTTTATCATCCTAGGCATGCCAATGTATCCAATCCATCAACATCAAAACGGTTCAAGCTATCACGTCCAAGAAGCTTGATTAACAACTATGAGTTGTCTCCTTTAGGCGGCCCCAATAGACATGAGTGCAATTATTTAATGTCAAAGATATATGCTTTTAACGTTGACATTGACTCATTCAATGGAAACGGGCTAAAAGTATCAACTTTACTAAAATAGGTTAAATTGTACATCATGGTCACTTGTGGTTCAAAGGCATTGGGAATGACTAACAAAATTTTAGGCGTGATGTGACTATCAATTATCCACAATTGACTCAAAGAAGCATATTGGAGACACTGGTGAGTTTTGTTTAGGTTGGTTTGATTGAAAATCTAATTGGAAGCTGACATATGTTTAGTTTAGATTAAGGATTACATATTGGAAGGTTCAAGAACTGATCATGCTTTGATAGACTTGCCTACTTTGTGCTAGTTTGAAGGGACTTACATCCATTAGAAAAGGCCCATCAATGGGACATACAAACTTGAAGACAAGAAAGGCCAGTGATTATCACTAAGATTTTTGTCTTGCTTTTAGTATTTGCAATTAACATGTTTTTAAATTTGGGGCTTATTATTTTATTTGCAAGTTGCTCAGACAATGAAGAGTTACAATCCTAGCCTTCGATAATTTTGCATGTAGGATTTATAACTTATATATTGGAATAGGACCGCTGATAAGTCTTACAACCTATCCTGTAGGCAAGGTGAACCAAATCTTTATAATTTGATCTGTGATGTCATGCATATTTTAGAACATGTATTCAGATAATTTGCCACGCCTTGAGATCAATTGGGACCAAAAAGATCAAATGCATGTCCTTAACTTTTTTATGTAATCATAATATAATCTAATTTTTTTCTTACAGGATTCTTGTAGAAATGATTCACCAACTATGCAAGGCAAATTTTATGAATCTTTCCATACAAGATTTAAAGAAACACCGGATAAAATGCCTCCTCGCCATTCAATTCAATAATTGAAAGAGATATCATTGTTGTAGTTATAATTGCCAAGAGTGGACTATCACGCCACTAACTGAGCATAGAGCATCCAAGCAAACCCTTTAGTGTTGCAAGGCATGGGAGGGATAAAATGGTGCCAACCATCTATGCCTGATTTGTGCAATGGCATCAGGACATGGCACACGCCAATGCACAATAATACCATCTTGAAACTTCGATTTTTTTTCTAGGAGAAATTTAACCAAGGTTTAAAATTATGCAATTGGGCAGTGAAGTATTTTGCATTTGTGAGGCAAGATATATAATCCTAAGGCATCTTGAGATGTAAGACTCAAAATCAACTAATTGTGAAAAGTTAGAAGTATTGTCCACACATCAAGATATAAAGAAATGGCATGTTACATCCTAACCAATTGATATATCAAAAATTAACATCTTAACAACTTAATATAGTAAAAGTAATAAATTGTGTAAAATATCAAGTAAAGTATTAATATCATAATATCAGAATATAAAGTAAGAAGCGTTATATAAACATTAAAAAAAATATATTAAAGTAAGAACTAAAAAACATAAGATTGTGTGCAATATTTCACAGTAAAAAATAGATACAAATTGAGAGGGTATATTGAGAAGTTAATCGAAAGTGGTTTATAAGATTTAATAATCAAAAAAGATTCACAATGAGGGCTAATTCATCTCAACCTGCATGTACTTCTATTGTTTAAGAAAGACTGTATGAGATTAACTCATAGTAAGAAGAAAAACGAGAATTTTAAAGATGAAAAATATTCTACTTAAAAGTCAAAAAGATTATGTGAATGAAAAAAAGGATGAAGACCGATGAATTTGTTTTAAATTGCTTTATAAAACTTAAACTTTATGTACTTAAATTTAGCATTTATTATAAATTAATTATTCTTTTATGCAATCTTAAATTTTCTAATTCTTACATCAAACTACTACATTAGTTTTATACTTGTGTTAATTCCTATGCAAAAGAAATTATTAGAAATTTTAATTTGTAGGTTCACCTCTAAAGTATGTATTCAAGTTAAATATATACATCGTCTTTCTTTTCTATTATAAAAGTTTTGAGTTTTATGTTAAAATCAAGTACAAATCAAATTTTAAATTTTATATGAAAATTTAAGTACTCTTCAAATTTTTAAATTGATCAACTAAAATAAACATGCCAAGTACAAATGAAGTGCGATCATTAAAAAATTCAAGCAAGCCAAATATGAACATACATGTAAAAGCTCAGCTCAAGCTTGAATTGAAAACAAACAAGTTATGATTCAACTAAGCTAATTCCAATCCATGACATAATCGACTCTACTCATCTTGATTACAACCCTAATTGTGTGTATAAGATATCAACTCTATTTCAAATGTGTATGTATATATAGGTATATTTGTATCCATGTTAGGCACAACATCCAATCAAAGCCATCTCTATCGTAATAGTTGAGTCAAATTCTATATCGAACATTAGATGGTATGGTAGAATTTTTGTAGGATATATCCCCTGAGCAAACAACAGTATGGTTCAATATTAACGGCGAAATATCACAGACTACACAAGAACCACCACATGCAATTCAAAGCTTCACACGAGGTTAGTTAAACCCTAAATACTTGCAGATGGTTCGGTATAAAAATAAGTCAGTGAAAACACACCTGTAGAGGCAACCAAACGCTAAATTATCCCGATCACCATGAACATCAAAGTAATAATCCTTGCTGGGCTTTGTCTCAGAACCAATCCAAGCTCGAACACCCGACTTTCTAGACGATTCCTGACCTAAACTTTCCCTCCCCTTCTCCCGCTTTCTCTTTCTCCGTCTACCTTTCTCTTTCCGCTCCGAAGGCCGCTCTGATTCAGACGAAGACGGCAAGGGAACGGGCTCATAAGACGGCTTCTTTGGTGCTTCGGCATCTTCTTCGTCTGAATTTTCGAGGGGTGATGTTATTGGGAAGGGGGCCGGAATGACAGCAGGAACAGCGGAGACATCGAAGGTGAAGCTGGGGTTGCTCAGCCATTTCGCGGGTTCAGAGTTCTCAGTGAAAGCAGGGGGGTGGTCAGAGGAAAGGAGGAGAGGAAATAATTGAGCTCTTTCTTTCTTCACCTCTTGTGCTCTCTCTTTCTCAATCGCCTCCATACTAGCAGTGTCCGGGGCATCCATGTCGATCTCCAGGCCCCGGAGAAATATTTGCGTACTTCTGACGTTTACAGTGAGGTTATTGGAGTATATATCGGCTTCCTAGATGTAACTTATAAATATATCAATACAGCTCGTAATTTATAAATTACAGGTTATTTTTAAGTTATAGTGAAGTTATAAGGGGTATAACGCGGATATAATGTTTAATTTTTTTCATGTAATCTACTGACTACATAGCTCTGCATACGCAACGTACTTACGCAAGTTACATGCATACCATACAATTCTTATAATTATGAACTTTAAGAGTAAAAGAATAAAAATCAGGCCAATATACTAGTTATTTTATTTTAATAAAACATATTAAAATTTTAATTTGATCAAAATATATTTTATAGTATGTCATTTACATACATACTTCCCAATTCCCATGTATTTAAGTATCTAAGATTCAAATTTAAATTTTTATATTTATGCACAATCTTTTCATATCATATCCTGAATATCACTATTTTAACTCTTAAAAAATAAAATTAACATTTTCATATTTATTTAACATAGCAAATATTTTAAATTAGTATATAGATAAATCTTCTTTAAAATTTTTACATGTGTGTGATGTGTCTTATTTGATGAAGATGAATTGATGTCTTGTTTGATGAAGATGAATTGAGATAAAATGTCACGAACTTTGGTGTTGCTTGGGAAATGAGCTTTATCTTCTTGCACAGAAAGGAAGAAAATAGAGGGCGACGAGAAAGCATGAAGAAAAGATAAATCTTTTACAATGTTTCCATTCATTTTCTAATTGATACAGAGACATGCATATTTATAAAGTAAGCTAAGGGTGCATTCGTAATACTATAGGAAAACACTAGTGAAATAAAACTCAGGTGAAAGCTCTGAGCCAAAGAGAGTTTGGCTAGATGTCAAGTCAAGGGAAATTGGAGTAGTGAGACACAGAGAAGGCCTTTCACCGCTCGACGTAGATACTAACATTTTTCCCCTTCAAGTTGATGGTCAATCAGAGGAATTGTCAGCTTGGTAGTGAGTTGATGTCGAGAAGTGAGAAGAGATTTGGTGAAATTATCAACTTGATGAGCTTATGTTGTAATGTGATGAAGGAAGATGTGTTGGAAGTTTGAGGTGGTTGCGAATGAAGTGGTAGTCTACTTAAATGTCCTTGGTGTGAGTGTGGAAGACTAGGTTGTGAGCAAAAGCAAATACAGATGTGATGTTGCAGTACGTGGTAGTTGGCGGGAGAGTATTTCTGGAGATTTCTTGTAATAGCTGGTATGACCAAATGAGTTATTTGTTGGTGGTAGCCAGGGCCCTATACTCATCTTTGGTAAAAGATTTTACAACTGCGGTTTGTTTCTTAGGCAAATAGGAGAAGAGCTTGGGTCTTAAGTAGATGCAAAAGCCTATTGTAGATTTTTTTATTGTTTGATTTCCATCTCAATCTGCATCTATATAAGCCTGCAAGGTAAGAGTGCCTTATTGTATAGGTAAACCATTTTTGTGAGTGCCTTTGAGATATCAAAGAAGCCTTTCTAAGTTCTCGTAGTGAAGGGTATTAAGAGTATGCATATGTTGATTGAGAAAGTTAATGATAAAAGTGATATCAAGGCATGTGATGGTTCGATAATAAAGATAGCCTATAATTTTTTGTATTCATGAGAGTCAAGTAAAAAGTTGGGAGTGATGGTTTGATGATGAGGATGTGTGGGGAGAGGAATGAGGACTAGTTTGGATTGAAGCATACCCATGGTAGTGAGTAATTCATTGATATAATTGGTTTGGTGCAATAGATATATATATGGATGTTTGTTGAATTTGTAATCCTATGAAGTGGGAGATAGTACCCAGTTGTTTGAGATTGAATTGATGACTGAGATTTTGAATTAAGGCAGTCATCTCAGATTTTGAATTGTCAGTGATAAGAATGTCATTGACATATACCAAGAGGTAGATTTTGGTAATATGATGATGATTGATAAGATGAGATGGATCAGCTTGAATGAGTCACAATTTTTGTGTGTAAAGAAATTGACAAGGTAGAATACCACTGTCGAGGTCCTTGTTTTAAACCATAATAGCTTTTTGTGAAGTTTGCAAGCATAATGAGGGTGTTTCATATCAATAAAACGAGGTGGTTGTTTTATACACACAGTGTTTTCAAGTTTTCCATAAAGGAAGACATTGAAGATATCAAGTTGTTGAATGTCAATGTTTAAATAAGTAACAAGAGTGGTTAGCTTTCTTATGCAAGGAAATTTAGCAACAAAATTGAAAATTTCATGAAAATCTATGTCTTGTTGTTGAGAAAAATCTTGTGCCACCAAACGTGCCTTATAACGAGCAATAGAGCCATTAATGTGATATTTGATTTTGAAGGTTCATTTAGAACTGAGAATGTGTTGAGTGGGAGGGGAGGAACAAGTTCCCAAATCTCTTGTTGTTGAAGAGCCATAAATTCATCTGACATAGCTTGAAGCCAATGGAATTGATTTATGGCTTGTGTAAATGTTGTGGGGGGGATTATTTTTGGTGATGTGGTGAAGGGTAAGAAATTTTGTGTATTTAAGTTCGTGAATAGTTAGAATATTGTGTATTTAAGCCTACAACTCGCCTTACTGATCTCTGGACCAAATAACCCGTCTAAACTCGTTGTCTGGCACCTAGGCACCATGCTGGGTGGCAGATTTATATTCTTTATGTATGTTGATGAAGTAGTTTCCATTTTTAGGCGTTAGGGCACTTAGACTGGGTGTCAAGTTTCTGTCAGCTTCGTATTTGGAAAACTTTGGAGCTGGCTCAGGCCCCTAGCCACCAGAAATGAGCACAGAGGCACCATACATGGACTTAGTATAAAGTTAACTTCTTATATCCTCCCTTGCTAACTCTCAATCTGTATTCTACATATATAGACATAAATACCTGAGGAAAACTAAAAAAAAATAACACATAACAGAGTAAGCATAGAAAATATCATAGCACATTTTCTACACATCAACAACTTGACTTGAAACACACTCGATCTTAATCTAACCCTTGTATGTGAGTGTATAATATCTAAATTAAAAATTCATGCGATCATTAATTTTTGAGCTAATATTTTAGCCTTTGGTCTAGAATGATGGTTATGAGATTAAGCCAGTAGAATTGAGTGATTGGTTTTAAACTGCAATGGTGACACCAAGTGTGGTGAGGTGAAATGGTGACAATCATGACATGAGCAAAGACATCTCAAGTCGCAACATGAGTCGGCATGAATGAGTCAGCATGACATGGAGCATATCTAGTTTGAGCAATTTTAAAATTCACTAAAAATATAACTTAGAAGGATCTTCTATCATTAAAAATATTCTGCATCAATTTTATTTTGTACCAAACATCATAAAGTTAGCACTTATACATTCATTTTATTTTATAATATTAATATTTATTTTATTTTATTTTACAAATATAATTAAATTGTTCTTTTTTTTGTCTATGAAATTCATTTAATATATATTTAAAACTTTCTTTTGCAAAAGTCCCAAAAGTCAATTGAGAAGTCATAACATGGCGAAGTTGTCATTGAGCCATATTCGATCTAACTAAATCAAATAAAGGGGTAATATTCTAAAAAGGAAAAAAATATTCTAACGTGAAGCGCTTTGTGTAGATAGAGGTGTAGATGAGCAGAACACGGGCCAGC